AGAGGACTGGGTTGGGGGGGGTGAGGGGTGGGAGGGCACACCTGTGGTTAACCAGAGGAACACTCACTATGACTGAGATCCACTGCGCTCACGCCCACACTTTCCTGGTTCTGCTGCCCCGAGTGTCAACTGAATATTACCGCATGCAAGCGAAAAACAAACACCTTCAAATGCAAAATCAAAATACTATAAATCACTACAGCACCAGGCTTTGGGGGATTGGCTTTTGGGGAGTAAAAATTAACATTAAACTTAACATCCCTGTCAGCCAGGCTGTTCGTGAACATGGAGACTTTCTCCAAAGCTGAAATCGCTTATCCCCAGTTCAACCGGAGATAAAAATCATAGAAGACCCCAGGACATCATGGGATAGGGGTCAGGACCATACACGTCTTTTCTGCTGTGACTGATGCGCTTTTTGAGCGAAATGTCAGCGAATTTCTTGGCTTTAAGGACACCAATGACAACATCTTAATCTGTGCACTCGAGCAGAGGAGATGGTTTCCATAACAAGAAGTCTTTCGAATGACGAGATGAATCAAAACGAAAACACTCAAATCGTAACAATTTCAGATTTCAGTACTTTAAAATAAACTAAACAAGACGGAGAGAGCAAGAGAGAGAGAGAGAAAGACTGAATCAAGTGACAGAGTCACGCTCTGCTTTTCTTGGGATGAGTAATCAGTGACCTTAGCCATCACTACCTGCATCACAGTGGGCACAGATTTTCTCCGTGGTGTGCGTTTGCGTGCGAGACCTCGCAATATATTAAAACAGCCTCTCGCGCACACACACACACACACACACGACCACATCTTACATGTGCATAAAGGTTTTGGCTTTTCAGCATGATTGGGGGAAGGGTGCTCGATTACAAGAATGATCTTTCCACTGAAGCGATTCTGGGACGTCAAACCTTTGCATGACACCCTCATGGTGTTCTCCGTTTGCGTGAGAGCGATGGATGACAGAAACAGCTCACGCAGTGCAGGAGGCTCGTCATGCAGTGTGAAGGGGGGGTACACTGGGCTGCATGCAAAGGTCAAAGGGCTCCCGTGCCGCATCGCTCCACACGCAGTCAGAGGTGGCGGTGTCCTGGCGTGGTTCTGACCTCATTTTTCAGCTCGGCGACCTGCTCCCGTAGCTGCGTGATGTACTGGCTGGAGTCCGTGTGGTTCAGCTGGCCCTGAATCCGGCCCTCCTCCTTCTGCAGCAAGCAGACAGGGAAACACCCAGTCAGAAATGCTGGTAAGACCCTAATGGAGACTATACTGGCAAGCCTCAACCACACACACACACACACAGTCGTGTAATCATATCTTTTTGGGGACCGCTCATTCATTTCTATGGGAAAAATGCTAATGCTAACTATGACAACCTTAATCCCTACCCATCCCTAACCATAACCATAAGTAACCAAACAAAATACAACAGTTTTTGCATTTTTAGTTTAGGAAACTGGTCCCCATAAGGTAAAAAAAAAAAAAAAAAAACGGGTATTCATCACGTTGTGGGGACATTTGGTCCCCACAACGTAAGGTATACCTGGACCACACACACACACACTCTCTCTATGGGAGAAGTCCTCGATGCTTAGCCTTTAAGATAATTGTTCTCCACCACAGACACTAACCCTTCACAATAATACTCCACCATGAATGCTTATTTTCTATGATAATAATCCTCCACCATAGATACAGTGTCTCTATAATGGCTCATTCCATTTTAATCCAACAAATGGCTTATGTGTGACCATTTTTGCTTTTGATGTAATTTGGCATACAAATTATTCATATGAAACTTGGCATGAGAATTAAACAAAAAGCTTTTTTGTTTCTTTTTAATTGTTTCCTTTGAGATATACCCCCTTTTTTACACCATGGGTAGCAAATAATTCAGAGTGTTTTCTTATGAGCTGTGACTTATTTACTATTACAGTTCAGTATTTTATTACTACTTGGCTCAGACAGCCTGCTTCTTAATAATATGCACCAAATTTAAGTAAACTGCATTTTTTGGGTTATGAAAAATTATCTGAAAACTCCCCTGAAATACTCTGCACACTTTGGCAGAACATTGGGTACAGAACCACTTCAGGCTATTTCTACGAAAAAGTAAGATTAAGAGAGAGAGAACTTCACACGCTTTAGAAATATTTTTAGCGTGAAAGTAAGTAAACAGTACTCTCCTGAAAATTAAGTGAAAAAAAAAGTTACCCATGGCCCTACCTGCTTTTTTGAGACTCCAAAAGAGCATTTTTTTTTATTTGGGGTGCTTGACTCATGAAGGAGACCGAGTAACAGGTCAATGTTTTAAATACACGTACAGATGTCCTTTATCATGAAAAAGTACCCCTCCCTAAGAAGCTATACCTGAGGCATGCAGCTATAACAGTAAAGAAACTTGCAGTTCATAAGAAAACACCCCGAATTACCATTTTTTTTTCTACATGTGGTGTGGAAAATGCACTCTCTCTCTTGAAGGGACAATTTAAAAAACAAAACATTTCTGAGCTTTGGAAGGTAATTCACCTGTCAAATTTAATCGAAATCAAAAATGGAGATGTGAAAACTTTCAGAAACTTGTTGAATTAAATACCTCCCGCACACAAACAGCACAGACACGCGAGCCCCACGCTAACACACCTCCAGCACAGACACGCGAACCCCACGCTAACACACCTCCAGCACAGACACGCGATCCCCACGCTAACACACCTCCAGCACAGACACGCGAGCCCCACGCTAACACACCTCCAGCACAGAGCCCCATGCTCTGCCACGCTGTTGTCCTAGCATCCCTCGTTGACATACCTGGATCTCCAGTTCAGCGATCCTTAAGCGTAGCTCAGCCATGGCCGCCATACTGTCTACCTCACGCAAGCGCACGGCCATCACCTCCTCCTTGCTCTGTTGGATGCAGCCCAATGGAGCACAGAATAAGAAACCAAAACAGGCAAAATAGTAAGCACTTACCACACCCGTAGACACACAACTGGGCAGAGATTTCACCTTGCAGTCAGATACAGCCTGCTTTCTCTTCACCTCACTGAGCTGGCCCTGTAGGCCCTTATTCTGTGCAGTGAGGTATTGCACTTTCTCCTGCAGGGCGGCGCTCTCCTGCCCCTGCCGGCTCACCAGCTTGCTGTGAATCTGGTTCTGAAAGGCACACAGTGGCAACCACATTTGTTTTTCTAAAGCAAAGGTATGATATGGGAGAGATATGGGGAAATAGGCTTAACAGGTAACACTTTAGTCTCATAATTACAGGTTTGACTCCCCCCCCCCCCGTTTCCTCTGGATACTCAAGGTTGCTCTTACAGCTTAAATTAAATGACCTGTGGGTATCCTGTGATGGACTGGGACACTGTCCTGAGTCACCCCTGCTTTATGCCCATCAGAGGTAGAAAGTTCAAGTTCAGAAAGTATAAATCCAGACCAAGATTTTGTTTGCCCTTGAACCCAAGTTCTTTCCATCACTGGGCAAATGTTACCATGTTGACAGAATAAAGCACATTCCTGTACACCTCAGGGGTGTGGACTACGAGTTTCATTTTGATTTAGCATGCTGTACCGGAACTAGCTGCACTAACACCTCCACAGCTGCAGGTGGTGCCCTTTCCTCCCTCAGCACCCGGCACGGTAGCCGAGTCGCAGCTCACCTGACTCTCCAGCTCCAAGACCTTCAGTCTGGCTTCCCGCAGCTCTGCCAGGGCCTGGGCCTCACGCAGGCGTGCCGCCATCAGCTTGTCCTGCAGCTCGTTCATGGCGTTCTTCTTGGGGGACTCCTTCCAGTGGCCACCCCCGCCCCCGCCGCTCCGTAACACCTGAACGGTTTCAGCAGAAAATGGTCAGAACACACAAAAAACCTACTGAGAAAATTAAGATTCTGTTGACAACTTGAGCTAATAAACAGTCGGTTTGATGGAAGCGGTGCAGATCTCTCAGTGTCTAGATTGTATAAATCGGTTTATACCCTTTTCTACATTCCTACATTGAGTAATTATTTCTCATGCTCGCTACTCATCTTCTAATCATCCCTTTTGTGGCCTCAGCTGTGCTGTTGATAAAAAAATCAGTTAAATTACAGCAAAAGCCTTTGGCAGTCAAAAGAAATGCTTATAGCTGTTTATCTGGGTGGCAAGTGCACTTTTGCTCAGAGCAAAAAACACAGTTTAGTATTAGAGCATATGCAATTAAAAACTATTCACTGCTTCATTGATTTTTACAAGACCCCCTACCCCTGCAGCAGAGAGAGAGATGACAGCATGAAAACCACCCGGGCAAACGATAGAGGACCCAGCTCAAACTGCTTTCTTAATGTGATCAGCAATGTGATTTGTCAAATGGGAGACGCACAGGAGCTGAGGCGGGTGAGACAGAGGGGATCGTGTCCTCCCTGGCCCGGGGGTCCCCGCGGTGACCAGCACCCCCAGTAACCGCCCTCGCCTTCTCAGTTCCCGGCCGTCAAGCCCTTCGCTTCTGCACCTCATCAGCCCCCCACCAGCCGCCCTCACCGGCCAACGCTGGTTGAGCTCGGTCACCGTCTCCTGCATCTCCCTGAAGCAGCGTAGAGTCTCCAGTTCCCTCAGCTTCACCAGCTTCAGCTCCTCCTGCAGCTGCGCCACATTACTCTCGTCCGGCAGGGAGCTGTTCCTCTGGAATGCGATGCACAGCCACAGCAGTCAGCGATGCATGCTCGCATTGTTTTGGTTTCATACAGCACAAAAAAAAGCTGGTAAATGTGATGAAAACAAGCAGTACTAGTAACACATAAAAGCACAGCATGTGCAAGAGGGTTTAAGTTGTTATATATTTGGAAGAGAGTGGCTCAGCAGGCTTGGATACTGCGCCCATGACTGGAAGGTCGTCGGTTCGAATCCCATGGCCAGCAGAATGATTTTACCACTGGGCACTTGAGCAAGGACCTTAACGCCGAGGGACTTAACGCTGCCTGACCCTGCTCTCTAAACCTTATAGGGCTTTAGATAAATTGATCTCCTAGATAAATAAATTGGAAAGTATCTAAAAAGTCCTGAAATGCACCAACATCTTTGATAAGCACAGGACCAAACATGTAAGAATTAGGGATGGTAAAATTCACCAATTCGCATCAGTCCACCAGCATAAAACTTCTGTGTACTGGATTTAATTTGGGATAAACTCAGGATGCGTCGTTTCTTATAACTTCGCATCAGTAAAATCAGATTTATTAATGTTCACAGCCGTAGCCAAAAGTTTTGAGAATGACACAAATATTAATTTTCGCGAAGTCTGCTGCCTCAGTTTTTATGATGGCAATTTGCATACCAGAATGCTGACATCATTTCAGTGATTCTCTTGTTAACACAGATTAGTGTGTTGATGAGGACATGGCTGGAGATCACTCTGTCATGCTGATTGAGTTTGAATAGCAGACTGGGTGTTTTAAAAGGAGGATGGTGCTTGAAATCATTGTTCTTCCTCTGGTAACCATGGTTACCTGCAAGGAAACATGTGCAGCCATCATTGTTTTGCACAAAAAGAGCTTCACAGGCAAGGATATTGCTGCTAGTAAGATTGTACCTAAATCAACCATTTATTGGATCATCAAGAACTTCAAGGAGAAAGGTTCAGTAGTTTTGAAGGTGGCTTCAGGGTGCCCAAGAAAGTCCAGCGAGCGCCTGGACCTTCTCCAAAAGTTGATTCAGCTGCAGGATCGGGGCACCACCAGTGCAGAGCTGGAATGGCAGCAGGCAGGTGTGAGTGCATCTGCATGCACAGTGAGGTGAAGACTGTTGGAGGATGGCCTGGTGTCAAGAAGGGCAGCAAAGAAGCCACTTATCTCCAAGAAAAACATCAGAGGCAGACTGATATTCTGCAGAAGGTACAGGGATTGGACTGCTGAGGACTGGGGTAAAGTCATTTTCTCTAATGAATCTCCTTTCTGATTGCTTGGGCCATCCGGAAAAAAGATTGTATGGAGAAGAAAAGGTGAGCGCCACCATTAGTCCTGTGTCATGCCAACAGTAAAGCATCCTGAGACCATTCATGTGTGGGGCTGCTTCTCAGCCAAGGGAGTGGGCTCATGCACAATTTTTCCTAAGAACACAGCCATGAATAAAGAATGGTATCAAAACATCCTCCGAGAGCAACTGCTCCCAACCATCCAAGAACACTTTGGTGCCGAACAATGCCTTTTCCAGCATGATGGAGCTCCGTCCCATAAGACAAAAGTGATAACTAAGTGGCTCGGGGAACAAAACATTGACGTTTTGGGTCCATGGCCAGGAAACTCCCCAGAACTTAATCCCATTGAGAACTTTTGGTCAATCTTCATGAGGCGGGTGGAAACAAAACCCCACAAATTCTGACAATCTCCAAGCATTGCTTATCCAAGAATGGGCTACCATCAGTCAGGATTTGGCTCAGAAGATGAATGACATCATGCCAATTCCAGAGGTTTTGAAAAGCCAAATATTAACGCTTTGCATAAACTTAATGTAATTGTCAATAAAAGGCTTTGACACTTATGAAAGGCTTGTAATTATACTTCAATGCCATAGAAACAGCTGACAAAAAGATCCACAAACACTGAAACAGCAAACTTTGAAAACCAATACTTGTGTCTTTCTCAAAACGTTTGGACACGACTGAACTAAGTAGAGGGCCTCTGCATTTATCATATATTAACCATTTCTGTATGTGCACCATACTGAACTGCACAGCATCATATTCTTTTGCATCGCATGGTATCGCGTTGAATCGAATCATATTGAATTGCACAAAATCGCAATAGGAGTGAACCATATTGTCTCACATTAGGAGTTTCTTCATATGCATCTTTAACGTATCGCATCATTAGCAATGCATCAAGATATGCATCTCATTGGCTGCCTTGATGGAGATACACATCCCTAGCGCAGAGCACGCAAAAAGTGCATGCAAACATGCACACACGGAGCTGAATCCAAGAAAGAACACGGGTCAGCTACATGCCTGTGGTCCTGGGAAGCATGTGTTTAAGATAGAGGCACAACATGGCTGCATGCATGTGGCCCAAGATGTCTGTCAGCAGCTAACGACGCCGCTATCTGCATGTGACATCGGCAGTGTGGCAGCTCACTCCCCAGCGCCTCGTAGCCTGCGGTTTGTGTGGCGGGGGGTGGGGACAGGCATCTACCCTGGAGGTTTGGAAGCGGGGGCGGCTGTCTGGGCTGGGGGGCGGGGGGCTGAGGTGCAGTGGTGGGCTCAGTGGGGTCTCTTCCCCGCTGCTCCCTCGCTGCAGGTACGGGGAGGTGAAGCCTGTCTTTCTAGGAACCCTGAACCCCGGGGAGGGTCTGAGGGTTTGAGGATTCATGTGGGGGGAGGGCGAGACATAGAGGGTGGCATTTCATTGCGACGCACAGTCGTTTCCCACCTGCTTCTTCTCGTTCTGGCACCAGGTGTGCCCCCCCCCCCCCCACCCCCCACTCAAACAACAGCTTCATGTTTTTTGGCTGCTGCACCAGTGTGAAAACCGTTTAGGCAGGCCAGAACCCCCCCCCTTCCTCAGGGGGAGGAGGCGTGAGCCTCTCTGGCCAGATTTTAAATCAGAAGGATCCATCCATCCTCACGTCACCTTCGCTGTGTACGGCCCCCTGCTCTCCTGTCCAGTCCCCAGTGTTTCTGCGATTTCAAAATTGTGAAATCTCATCCCTTGTTACTTGAATGTGTATGTTGCACCGTGGTCCTGGGGAATGTTATTTCAGGCTACTGTATACCTGAATAGTCATGGTATTGCAATGAAGCCCACTTGAGTTGACTGCAACACTGCTGAGGGTTGATGAATGCAGAGGGACCGTGGGGACAGTGTTTCTGGTCCTGATGGGCCAAACTCTGTACGCTAACTTTGGTTCCAGTAGTTCAGTTTGTCTTTGCTTATTTGTTAGTTGATTCAAACACATTAATCAGAAACAATGTGAACACTTGCTGCATCTGTTACTGGGGCTTTGTGCCAGGTAAGGATGTTTTATTTCTCCTGTCTATTTCTTCATTATTTAGAAGTCAGGGATTTGGGGCCAGTGTTGGAAAGCATCAGTGACTCCTCATACAGATTAATTTCTGATAATGAATTCTCTCTGCTGATGTCGCTTAAAAGCAGTTTTAATGGGCATCAGGTTCACACAGCTGTGTCACACACTGGCATCACACACACATGGCCGGGCGGTGAGCTGACCTTCTCCAGCTCCAGCACCTTGTCCTGCATCTCCTTCATGGCGCCAAGCAGATCCGCCTCCTGCAGTTTCGACTGCTCCAGCTGCGTCTGCAGGCTGCTCACGAACTGCTCGGTGTACTGCGGAGGACAGGGGGAGGGACGGCGCTCATCGTGCGTCTACTGGCACAGGCTCGGCGTCTCAGAGGTCTGTTTAGTGCCGCGCCGGCTGAATTTCACGGCATGAGCCAACGCCACTGACAGCTTTGTTCCGATTTTCTTAAAGATACGTTATCTTTGCTCACATCTTAAACGGTGCCTGATTAGATGTTTCACTTGAGTGAGAAATGGCAACACGAGACTGAGCAGGGTAACCTTGCCGGCCCTCTTTAACATTCTGCATCAGGCTTTCACCTCCCCTGGGACTGAAGAGATTTGTCATATAACAACCAACTCTGATTCTATCCCTGCACAGTTTTCTGGACAACGTTCCATGAGCACTACCTCAGTGCTGTAATAAAACCATGTACTTAGGCCTCTTGGCTGGTCATGGTGGCCAGTTTCCCCAAAATCAGCATAGCACCCTGCCTCCACCCCCCCGCCCCCGGTCTGAGAGTCCACCATTCTCATAGGATGCTACTGGCTGTCTGGGAGGGAAGGTGAACCTCTACATAAACCTTCACATCGGCAGACCTTCTGTGCTAAAAAGACTTAATGAAGCAGCATCTGTCATCCCCAAACCAGCGCAGACAATTCCTTTCCTGGAAACAATGGGAGTATTGTAAAACACCTAAACACAAGCATATATTTCTTTAAATTACATCTCAAAAATCTCAAAATCACCCAGATGCACTGCTTTTATTTTATCGACAAGGGAAATCGAGAGAAGATGCTGCCAGAATGACAACATTTAACAACACTTTTCGCATCTCATTATTCGGTTATTAATTAATAGTGGTTAGAAAACTAAAGCCTACGATTAACAACCCATAAACAGCTATTGCCTAGAAAACTGTTTGCTTAATATTAGCTAAACCACTTTCCACGTCAGCTTCACACATCCCCAGAAGAGGAGGGAGGAATTTACACTCATCTTCACCGACAACGAAAAACCAATGAACCTCTTAACGACTTCTTCAGCAATATCCATTTCCCCTTTCTGCTTTTCTCATTCTCTGTTTTTGTTCAGCTCGACATACAGGAGGGTGTTCGCCTCATCACAGACATCGGGGATAAAACTGAAGCAGCCGCTTGCTGCACAGACATTTACCCACGTGTCTCTTTATTAAATAGTATGGTGGGTTTTACTCAATTATAAAACAACGCAATATACCCACAAGCATATATTTCTTTAAATTACATGGCACATAACACAAAAAACACAAAATCACCCAGATGCACTGCTTTTATTTTATCAACGAGGGAAATCTAGAGAAGATGCTGTCGGAATGGCAACAACATTTCTGCAGGCAGCCCGTCACTCTCTATCACCATCTTATCCATAACCCTCCTAACCCCCTCAACTACAGTACAATTTCTAGAATTACTGGATGGATCAACAGGAAATGTCAAAGCCAATAAATGTGTTTTTACCCGAATGCTCATGAGTCCCACTCATGACACGCAACTGTGAAACTACACCCATTCATTTATTGCACATTCCACTTATATGGCGATTTGCACAATAGTTCCCTGCAGTAAGGTGGTTAACCATATTTCTTTGAAAATGCCTTAATGACCATGACTCATAATGCAGGTTTATGTGTAACACTGACCTTTCACAGCGTCCAGTAGGGATGCTTCCGGTCAACATACCACATTGCCGGGACACAGCCTCCTGCTAATTTTCAGAGCGTCTGGATGTTGGTGTTTTCGCAGAGATGTACAGCAAAGACTGCTTTGGACGGCGTGACAGTACATTTCTTTATTGTACTTGTTTTTTAATCACTTAGCTGTGTGTGTGTAAGTCGGCAAATCAAATCTCAATACTGCCAAAGCATCAAGGTACAGTTTTTCATGTTAAAGCCCCCGCCCCCCCCCCCCGGATTTTCTCTCTTAGACTTCTGACTCCACAAAATGTTCTGTGACTTGTGAATGTGTTTCGATGGACAGGTCCATAAACAGTATCCATCTATAATATCTATGGAATTGTATTCAATTAACTGCGTTCAAACTGACTTTTCTAGCAAGTGTTACAATCAACCCCGCCCATGGGCTAAGTTGTAACATTTCACTTCCCCCCACTTTCAGTGCAATTGTACAAGAACGGTATGTCCCAGTAACAAATTTTGAGTGTTTATTGGAAGCAGAAATATGTATGGTGCTTGTATAAAAATATGATTAAATCTAATTTTTTAAATGTTTTAGCCAAAACCAAAATGGTAGGCTGGCCCCGTGCTCCTCAACATTCTTTATATGTATAAATATTCATATTCTGCTTATTTCTCATTTGCACCATAACCTTTTCTTTGACATAACAGTAAGAACTGAAACAGACACACCAGTGGTATAACTCAGTAACTGCCGTATAATATCATACAGACACACCAGTGGTATAACTCAGTAACTGCCGTAT